TTAAGTAGCAGGAGAAGCTGTAGCAATAGGTGTATGCTTCACAAACCAGCTCTGAGTTAACATGGGAACAATCTGAGATATGAAACAGAAAGGAACTAATAACTTGCCAGTTGAAGAAATGACACTAGGTGATCCATATTGTGTCACATCAGGTTAAGCCACTATCTGTGATGCCGGCATCCCGTTTGGGAGTGCTTGTTCCAGTCTTGGCTGCTCTGCTTTCCATCCAGTTCCCTGCTGATGCATCTGGGAAAGCATTAGAAGTTGGCCTGTGTACCTGGGCATCTGCAGCCCTGGTGGGAGACCTGGGTGGAGCTCAGGCACCCAAGCCTGAGACAGAAGACTGCAACTAGAATCTCCGCTTGAATTCTAGGTATCGAGAGTTTGAGCACATACAAGCCATTGTGGAGGACACCTGCTGCTCATGTTAAGTAGTGCCGCTCATCTCTGATCTCTGAGACAGTAGTTCCTTTACTGTGAGCTGTGGGAAGCCATTTAGACAGGAGAAGCTAGATGCATGTTTCCATTCCCTTGAGAGGTTGATTATGACACATAGTCTTCAACAACTCTGCAACAGAACTGAGCCCGCACTGACCAGAAATATCAAGTGAGCAGCACACCACTGGACAGGCATCCGTTCCTTGCACAGGACACCCTCCTCCCTGTTCCTGACCTTGCACTCCAAAAGAAGCTTTCCATGCCTTGGCCTCTGCATTTGGGAAATACAGGTTAAGATATGAACATAGCATGAACAGATTTTAAAGAATAATACTAAATGTGATGCTACCCAAGTTTAAAATAGATGATCAATCTCACCAGCAATTCAGAGCTGTTGAACTATAAATCATTTAAGCAGTGCCCTCTGAGCATGCCCCAGGTTGGGGACCCTGGAATGGTTGGGAGGGTGGGAATAGCTTCTCTCTTTATCTCTCCTCTTCCTGCAGATACAGGAAGAAAAAAAAAAAAGAATGTGGAAGCAATGGTTTTACCCCCTTTCCTGTAGCCCTTGACCCTTTGAGCCCTAATCAACTATGTAAAGATCATCAAAATAAAAAAAAAATAAAAAACAAAAACAAAATAGATGATCAAATCTTATCTCATTTGTCACAGGGTATTTTCTGCATCTAGAAACAAGTTTGGTTTGACTCAATGGCAAATGAATGAGCAGACACTCCTGTAGACGTCACTGCTGCCTAGACCATGAACCAGGAAGCAGCTGCAGTGCTTGTGGTCTCAAATGGACATAAAAACATGTTCCAAGCAAGCAGTTCAACTTCAGCTCATTCCCTTTAAGTTCACTCAAAACACTGATCTACATATGTTCCCTTTGCCCAATTAACAATAAATAGAAAGTTGACCCTGGGGATTATCCTCATATAGAATTGATGTTGTCCTATTTCAGGAGGCAGAGAAAATGGCTAATAATAGACTATCTTACAGATACCTTAATTAGGGGCCAGCACAATGGCTCAACTGGCTAATCCTCCACGTATAAACACTGGCATTCCATATAGGCATGGGTTGGGTCCCAGCTACTCTACTCCCCATCTCACTCCCTATTTATGGCCTGGGAAAGTTGAGGATGGTCCAGGTTCTTGAAAGTTAATACACAGGTGGAAGACCTGGAAGAAGCTCCTAGCTGCTAGCTTTTGGCTTCAGATTGGCTCAGCTCTGGCCGTTGCAGCCAACTGGGAAGTGAACCAGTGGATGGAAGATCTTTCTCTCCTTCTGCCTGTCAGTCTGCCGTTCCAATAAATCTGCCTTCCAAATAACTAGATCTTAAAATTACCTTAATTAGAAAAATCTTGATCTCTATGGAGTTCACAAAACCTTTTTAAAATACATTCTGTTTTCTTGTAATTGGAACAAACCACAATATGTTTACTTGGTAAAGGAATTGGCTTATTTGAGTTCCATCAGATAATTCCATGATTTGTTAAGGAAGTTGACGGTTAGTTACTCACCTACACTCTGAGACAGCCTGCCCAAAGTGTAGCAGGCTATGAGGTTCTCAGTTAGCAACTTAAGTAGCCCTACTGCTAGTGGTTACCAAAAAAAAAAAAAAAACCACAAATAGAAAATGGGTGGCATGCATATGAGTGAAAGAAAATAAATCTGAAGTCTTATGATGTTACCTTTCTTCACAAATGGATCTAGGTATGATTTTGTTTCTGGATATTTCTATCCCTGTGCCTTAATAAAAGCAGAAGACTGGTTCCTCTACAAGCAGTGTTAAGAATTTAAAGAGTTGCTAAAAAGTGGACAATTTCTACTTAGTCTTGGTTTAGACTAGGATCATAAGACTATTTGTCTTATTACCCTCAGGGTACGTATTTATTCAGAAAGACAAAATGACATACATCCTCAAGGTGCAGGGAAGATATTGTTTTTGAAAAGGAAATGTGAGGTCCTATTAGGGCAGAGCTGTTAATTACCCACTTCATTATTGTCAAGGTTAATACAATCTCAAAGAGCAGAGCTACTTTTTCATCTCCTCCCTGAGAACAAGGGGAGACAGCTGTTCTCATGACAGATCCATTACAGCTTATCACCAGCCTGCAGCCCGCAGAAGAGCGCCATGAAATATGGCTGCTGTCGCTGGAAGTCGGAGCAGATGCTGAGCTAGTCCCGTACACAATGGAACGACAACAAGAACTGTGGCTTCCAACTCAGAGAGATTGGCTTGCAGTGATTTTTAATGCCTGGAGGTTCTGCAGCATCAAATTCAGCTATAATCATGCATTGATTGCATTATTGATCTTTCTAGAACTGCATAGTCCTGTATTAATAAACATCAGATGTTGGCAACAATAAATAGTAGTTCTTCCACTACAAAGCATGGTTAAAACTTATTGCAGAATGTTGCATGGTTTAAGTCTATTATTACTGTGTTGCCACTTAGGATTTCATAACTCATGTCAGAAAAAAAGAGAATTGCCTTGTCTCTGCTTTAACTAGTATTCCAGATCATATGTTATCATTCGGATTATTTTCTTTTACTTTTTGTGGCTGATCAATAATTTGATTTTAGCAAGCATTTGTCTTTTGTGAGATCCTTCTTGTTAACACTGAGTATCAGAGAGAAACATGTGCTTCCTCTAAGAATGATGTGTTTAGGACCTGGCATTGTAGCCTAGTGGCTAAAGTCTTCACCTTGCATGCACTGGGATCCCATATGGATGCAGGTTCTAATCCTAGAGGCCCTGCCTCCCATCTTGCCATTTAAGAATCAAACCATACAGTAAAATATTCAAGCATGCATCCATAAAGGTAATAACAAATGATTGAACAAATTGGTGGATAGCAAGCCAGTCTCATGTGCAGAATAATTTCAAATACTTTATGTAGATATCTCCTTCCAAGGAAGTAGAAGTGCAAATCCTCCCCACCCCTGGCACAGTGACTTTTTTCCAAACAGTATAATACAAGAAAAGGAAGGAAGAGAGAAATGTAACTTTGTAGTTTAAAAACCAAGCAAGCACGATGTCATTGATTTGATCAGGAAAAAGCCCTATTGATGTGAGTGTGATGTCATCATGAAACTGCTATTTTACTCTGCAGTCCTCTGCCCCCACACACCGAAGCCCCAGTTACGTAGGAGGAAAACATCAAATGAATCCAGCTGAGAGACATTTTGCAGGGTACCTGACCCGTACTGTTCACAATTACCCAGTCTGAGAGACTGTCACAGAGCAGGGGGGACCCTAGGAGATGTGACAGGTAATGAGTTCACTGAGTTAACCTGGCCAGGAGCCTGGAGACCTAGGTGAAATATGGTGCAATCTACGTGAGAATAGAATTCTGTTGATGGTAGTTGCAAGATGTTAGCAAGAATGGTACCTGGAACATGGATCTATTTTGTTTGCAACTTCTATGTCAATGCAAAACTATTCTAGGATTAAATCTATCTTAAAGAGAGGGAGAGTGTAAACCATAAGCCATGAGTCCAGGGCTGCCTGGGGGAGTTGATTGACCCTCACATGAATTCTTTGAGAAGCACATAAGCTTGAAAAGAGCTCAGTTCCTCCTCCAGCCTGAACGCTGAAAAGCGTTACAACTCCCCGTTACTTAAAGGCATTTTTCTCTTAAAATCCTGGAAGGCTGAAGTCACAATACTTTGTTCATCATTCTTTTATCCACCCCCCATCCCTTGGTATTTTGCAGCAAACCTTGTCATTTTCAAGGCACAGCTGACTGACTCTGTGAGTGATTTGCTATTTCTCTCTGTTCCTGGCATTCGGATGTTATTTTAGCTCTTTAAAAGGAACAGTAGGCTTAGCAAGTTCTCATTTAGATCTAGGTACAACTCCATCGCCACAAAACTGTCCAAAATCTAGCACTGATGTTTCAGAGAAGTGTGAGCCTAAGCGGTGTCATTACAGTTATACGCTTAATGACAATGTCACATTTGATAGCAGATTATCTCACATAAGAGAAAGTATCAGTGTCTTCCTCTTTTTTAGAATCTCTGATGAGATGTCTCCCATAAACGTAGAAAAGGTGCATATTGACATGGTGATGCTAATATTCACATGGCAAGGCTTCGGGGTTTTCACATTGTCTGAATAATGAGCTCAAAACCTAGTGAGCATGTCTGTGTAGTTAAATCATCACTTAGGTATTGTACTAGTAGGCTTATTATCAGCTTGCTGTTAGATGGTCACATTTAATCATTTGGATGGCAGAGTAGGGCAAGGAACTTTGCTCATAAACTGGTAAATATGACAGTGGTAGTCTATATAGTCTTCTAAATGTCTTTTTTATGTGTAATTGCTCTAATGACATAGGTAAGGGGTGTTTGGCCGTTTGTTTATTGCTTAATTCATGATTTACTTCACCAGTGATGTCAGCAGTGTGTGTGTGTGTGTGTGTGTGTGTGAAATGTCCTTCAAGTCTGTTTACTTCTGTGGTTTCAACTGGACAGAGTAGGGGGTAGCAATCCTCTAATCATTCAAAAACCTGACATTTTTTAAAACCATTATTCCCTTTATTATTCCTAGACAATCGTTAGAGGAAACAAACCCTGCAAGGAAACCTCCATCAACGGCCTGCTGGAGGATTTTGACAACATCTCTGTGACACGCTCCAACTCCCTAAGGAAAGAAAGCCCGCCCACCCCAGATCAGGGAGCCTCCAGCCATGGGCAAGGCCATTTGGAAGAAAATGGCTTCATCACCTTCTCACAGTACTCCAGCGAATCCGATACCACTGTTGACTACCTGACCGAGAAGTACAGAGAGAAGAGTCTCTATGGAGACGATCTGGATCCGTACTATAAAGGCAGCCATGGAACCAAGCAAAACGGACACGTGATGAGAATGAAGCATGGTGAGGCCTACTATTCTGACATGAAACCTGTGAAAGGCGAATTGGCCAGATTTCCCGTCGATTATCACACCCACTTGGACTCGCTGAGCAAACCAGGCCACTACAGTGATCTCAAGTGGGAGTACCAGCGAGCCTCGAGCTGCTCCCCTCTGGATTACCCATTCCAGTTCATGCCTTCTAGAACTGCAGGGGCCAGTGGGTGCTCCAAGGAGAGTCTGGCCTACAGTGAAAGTGAGTGGGCACCAAGCCTGGAGGACTATGACAGGAGGCCAAAGTCATCCTACATGAACCAGACAAGCCCTCAGCCAGGCATGCGGCAGAGGTCCAGGTCAGGATCAGGGCTCCAGGAACCCATGATGCCCTTCGGAGCAAGTGCATTTAAAACCCACCCCCAGGGACACTCCTACAGCTCCTACACCTACCCTCGCTTGTCCGAGCCCACAACGTGCTTTCCAAAGGTAATGTCCCCTATGTACTTGCCCTCCGAGTATGCAGGAGTCTTCCCGGAAGTGGTGCCAGCAGCACCCGCTAGTGCAGATTCTAAAGTGGTGGGTGTCCTCTTTAGTTAGAATTTACATCAAAATCTTACCTTTTCTATACCTATGAGCTCCCAGGTCAGATGATATTGGGCATAGATAGTCTTTGAAATCAATATTTATCTTTTGGGATATCCTATAGTGTTTCAGAGGAAGGCACATTTATTCATATAGCTGAAAGATATCCTGAAATATGAATGATAAGTACTATTTGATCAAATTTTACTAAGTTCTAGTGTATCAGTATATGCCATTAGATGGACATGATGTAGTGGTTCTGATATTCTGGCAGAGGTTACATAGAACTCTTTAAAAAGGAAATAAAAGGATAAGAGAATATGGTAAGTTTCTCATAAAGCTGATCGGGTTAAATTTGGGATACCTTCCATTTCAGAGTATGTCACTCTTGCTTTTTCGTTGAGATGCTAGTTTTTGTATGAAATTTTGGGCTAATATATAGTAACTAGTTGCTGTATCTTTTAGTTGGCTTTTGATTTATTTTGTAATAATTCTTCTATGGATCATCAGTTACTGTACACTTATTATGAAATTTGTCTGGTACATGATATCCCAAAGTCTGGAAAGCACTATAGAAAAAGCTATTGAGTTTAAAGCTACTTGAGTCTTTGCTGCGGGGGAGGAGCTGCTCTGGAGAGGCAAGAGGCTGATTTTTTTCCATGGCAACTGAAAATTGCCTTTGCCAGCTTCTTTAAAGAACACAAGTAGAAATGACTGTCTTGCGGGGGTAGACTGTGTAGAGGTTACAAACCACTGAGAACTGACATGGTCTTCAGCAGTGCTGTGGCATACGTTCCCTCTCCAGTGGTTTCATGGATGGTGCCACAAACCTGGCATTCATCTCTGTTGCTGATTCTAGATCATCAGTAATGCTCCTTTGCTTGTTAATTCTCAATGACCACTTCCACTTCCTGCATTCCTTCCAGAGAAGTAGATGAGGGTTAGGTTGCAAGTGTCATGACCCACGTGATAGCTCATTCAGTTTCATACGTGTGGCATGACGGAGGGAGTCCCTTCATAGTCCTGGGGTGAAACAGAATATTAGCATAGTGTTGCTGAATTGAGTTATGTCCTCAGTCTTCAAACATTTGTGCTCCTCTTGGTTAGCAGTATGGAGTAGGATTGCGTGTGGGGTGTATTGAACACTTAAGTGAGGTGGTTTTTGCCACTATCATCATCATAGAGACAGCATTACTAAGAAGGAGCCACCTTTGGGCACTATTTGACGCCTTCATGTATGTGGCCGACTCAATATTAATTTCCAACATCTAGAAAACCTGAGAGATTTCGCTTTGAAGTCTCCATTTCTGGAGTTGAGCCTCAGTGGGGCGATCTTGCATCAATGGATTCCTAGTTTCACAAACTATAGGGAATAGAATCAGCTAAAGGTAAAGATTGACCCATGAGAGGGGACATTGACTCCCCAAGATGGACACAGCCTTCTAAAGCCGTTTTATTTCAATTGATTGCACAATCTCAAGAGGCTTTTGGAATTTAATTCACCTTCAGCACTCACTGTCTAGTTGTTTCCCAGAAGGGGAAACGGATCCAGAGACTCACCTGGTTGCAAAGCAAGAACAAGAACTCAAGTCTGTTGTTCCTTTCAGCCCAGCACTTTATATGGACATATAAACTGCATTTGCAGTAAAATTCGTAAGATGCCCTAGTGGTCAGTTTAGGCTTGGTGTTAGAAGAGAAAGGAAAGAGAAAAGGGGGAAAGATCTCAAGACAACTTACTTCATTTCTTATAGACTCCCTCTTCCTGCAGATTTCCAAACGGATCACAACTCTGAAGTCTGACTTTGTCAAACCCAGAAACAATGGAGAAACTCTTGTCTCAGGAGAAGGAACAGGGCGTTCCCTCATGAGCTGGTTTACCTAGGGCCTTTATAATCAGAACTCCCAAGAAGCAAGCTACTGTTTCAGAAATTTAGAAGCAGTTTTTAGAGAAGGGTAGGAGGTGGGAAGCATGTTAGTAATTAAAACATCTACTTGATTAAAAATATAGCAGCTCTCTAAAAAGGCTTAGATGGCTGCGTCTTTAGAACTATTGTCTTAAAAACCTACCAATTGCGTTTGGATTCCCAGCTAGAGGAAGAAATAGCAATCACGACTCAGATAATTTGGCTTTGTCTCATGGAAAATTCTTAAAAAGGGTGGTTATGTTCTGATCTCCAACAATAAGAAATAGCACAAAATCTGGGCAGGTCTAAAGATGGAGCATCAGGGCCTGGCATCATAGCCTAATGTGATCACCTTGAATGCACTGCCAGGATCCCATATGGACACCAGTTCTAATCCCGGCGGCCTCACTGCTCATCCAGCTCCCTGTTTGTGGCCTGGGGAAGCCGTCAAGGACGGCCCAAAGTTTTGGGAGCCTGCACTTGCGTGGGAGACCCAGAAGAGGCTCCTGGCTCCAGGCTCCAGATTTGCTCAGCTGCAGTCACTGCGGCAGCTTGGGGATTGAATCAGTAGATGGATGATCTTCCTCTCTCTTTCCTCCTCTCTCTCTCTCTCTCTCTCTCTCTCTCTATATATATATATATATATATATATATGCCTTTCTGATAAAAATAAATAAATCTTTTTTTAAAAATGGAGCACCAGTAAGGAAGGGCTGTACAAAGTGTGTGTGTGTGTGTGTGTGTGTGTGTGTGTGTGTGTGTGTGTGTGTGTGGAGAGAGAATGATTGTATTTAATGCACAATGAAAATCTCTAATGTTCTCTCCCTCCCTAATTTTCCTGTTATCCTGAAAGGAATTAAGCATGTTATAAAATTGTTGATGTTAGTATCTGCTCCATACTTTTTGTTTTATTCTGTCCTTCAACAGAGTTGGGGTACAGATGTGCTTTCCGCCCTTCCCTGCAGCTGGGTCAGCCTCCCCAAGCGGGAAGCTAGTCGTTGTTACCCAGCAGTCGATATTCGTCCTCTCACTGCAGCCAGGTAGCTTCCAGCTCCAGTGTCTCAGTTCTGGACCCTCATATTCATGCCTTGCTGTAGCTGCAACTGCCACGAAGCCCCCAAAGTAATAACAGTTCTGCCAGTTCATTAAACACTTGCTGCGTGCCAGATACATGCATTGTTTTATTGAACTTCACAACCCTGTAGGGGAAGAATCCTTGCTCTGCTTGTAAGGATGAGGGAATTAAAATTTTGAAAGGCTTAAAAGCAGGTGGGTCCCTCAGCTCATAAGAGAGCTTGATGCAACTCCTTGGATTTAACTCCTTCACCTGATACTACAGCCCCCACAGCACAGGGGCAGTTTCCCAGGATGCTAATCCTTCAGCCTGCCTGGTTATCAGTTCCTCTTATTACCTGAACAGCAAAGTTCTATTAGCAAGGAATTTTCTCTCTAGCAGAGATTCCCGACCTTGACACTTGACATTTCACATTTTGGACCATGCAGTTCTTTGTTATGAAGTCTGTCCTTGCCTATGAGATTATTCAGAAACATCCTCGGAATGCACTGACTTGATGCCAAAAGCATCCCCTCTTCATTTGAGACAATCGAAATACCTTCAAACATGATCAAGTTTTCTGTAACCAGGGAGATCAAGGTTGGTCCCAGATAAGAAATGAGAAACTATTCTGTATACCAAACACTTCTTGGCAGTTAAGGGATTTCTGATATTGCCACTTACTAACCAGGTGAGCAAGCACTTAGCCACTTCTCCATCTATAAAACAAGGTCAAGACAGTCTCTGCCTCATACTATGTCAGAGTGATACCACAAGAACCTAGAGCAGTCTCTCTGTTCACATGTACATTTTGTCTACACATCAGGCTACATGAGTAGCGTGTAGAGGGATGATGACCAGCCATGAAACTTACAACATTATGAAATCCAGCCACCATACTAAGCATTTTGCAGCCATTACCAGATAAATCCCTTCTAAAATTCCAGCATAATGCAGGATCATCTCAGATTTACTTTTAAGGGAGCTGAAACTCCAAGAAGCTAAATCTTTATGGACTTCTTCAAAGAACATTAGGGCAACAGCTAAGTCAGAAATGAAAACTAGGTCTGCCTTGCTCCGAAGTCCATGAATTCTGGATCAGTACCATTTCCACAGAAGAAAACTGAGACCCAGAAAGGTAAAGGTGAGGTCTCCAGCACCAGACACACTCACACACATTGCAGGCAGCCCTTGAAGCATTTGGAACAGGTGGCAAAGCACAGGAAATACTCCGGAATGGAATCTTTAAGTTCCTTAGCTTCACTCAGACAGCAAAGATTGTACAAGAGCTGGAAGCTCAGGTCGCAGAGGAAGTGTTAAAAGCAGAATCCCTAAGGCTTCCATAACCACTGATTCCACTTTGAGTGTCGAACATGTTTGATATTTTAGAAGACAACCAGATTGAATTTTTCTGGCCTGTTCCCGAAGAGTACAAGTTCTAGGATCACAGTCTCTTGCTGTGAGCACATGCTAACTGTACATTCTTGTCTGTGCTTCAGATAACTGTTCAGTGTTTTAATACTTATTTGGACTTATGAGGATCAAATATAATTAATTGACATAAGGGAGTAAGCACCTGACCAACACTCAGTGTTAATTCTCATCCCTAGGATTATTTGGGGTTGGAAAACGTGTTACCTACAAACACACCCAACAGGAATGTTCTCTCTGTAGCATCTGTTACATATTTTCCAAATAGAGGGACAATTCTTGCTGGTCCTGAAAGACACTGGGTTTAGCCCTGACTTTCCTGACTCTAGCTATGTAGGTCACAAAATGCCAGAATAGCTGTATGGCTTGCTCTGGGTCATGCAATGCTGCAGCCACTGAGATAACCTGAGGTTCCCCCACCCCACCACTAGCTGGGAACGGAATTCTCAGACCTCCTCTGGAAGACAGAGGCTAAGCCAGAGCTCTCATCCGTGTATATCCGACCATCTTCTGTA